GTTTCTGCCATTCTGCAGTTCTTCCCCCTTCCTCTTAAAACTGACTCAAAAATAAACCTGCCTTTTTGTGCCTGCAACAACTCTTGCAGGCTTTCAGTTCCCATTTCTTACCTCTCTCCTCTCAATCCAGGTTCAGAGGCCCAGCAATCAAAGAGTTTACCTGTGGGTGGGTTGTAAAAGGTCAATTCACATTTCAAAGGGTTAGATATGTAAGTATTTAAAAACCTGTAAGGGCTGCCTGAGCTGTTCCCTTTTTTGGCACCTTATCTCCAGCACTTGCATCCCCTAGTGAAGTTTGGATCTGAAAATCATTGTCAGGGAAGTTTGCAAACCACTCTGTTCCTGCAGGTACCCTGGCTGAAAGCAACTGCAAAACAGCAAAAAATCTTTTGCACAGGTTAGTGTTAAAATGGTTTGTTTGGGGTTCCCTGTTCCTGCAAGGAGCTGGTTCTTTTTCCTTGCTTTATAAACTTTTGAATCCTGTCAATGTAGTTACAAGCTTATGGCTTCTTTAAGCTGAGATAATTTATAAAATTTACTTACAGATGTTTTTAGTTGGCCTTCATGTGGTTTGGGATTGGAGGCTGTAAGGTTTAAGTGCTTGCCTTCTCCTCTTTCATCGGTATACCGGTAGGAGCAGAGTGATAAACCTAGAAATATAAACTTGGAGGCATTTATATTTACCCCAGTATTGAATTTTGGGCTGAAATCTGGAGGAAAGTCCTGTCTCTTCTTTATTGTCAATTAGCTTGGAGTTGTTACATTTCTCTAGTTCAGTGTTTCTCAACCTTGGCAAGTTGAAGACGGATAGAAATCAGCTCCCAGTATCCCCCAGGCATCATGCTTGCCAAGAAAAAAAAACAGTGCTTTAGCCTAGTCTGTGACCCTGAAAGTTTGAATTTTATAGGAACTGTATTAACTCAATATTGATATACCCATTCTAAAGATGCTTTAAAAGCAATAAGGATGAATGAAATTATCAGACTATTTATAGTCTAATCTACACATATTTAGCATGACAATATATTTAAGATCATTCTAAAATTATTTTTGCAGTCCTTTAATGTCACCTTCAGAGTCTGGTGCTACATATGCAATGATAGGCTAACGACAGTACTTATTGTCTGAATTGTTCACCCCACTCCTCCACCTCCTCAGAACTGGTAGAAACTGTGCTGAATGTTTTTTTCTCTTGAGGCCATTTTCCAAGGGAGAACTACACTGTAGTAGATTCAGTAAAGATTATACTATATCCTTTGGTCTATCAACTTCTATGAGAGTCTTTGTGCTTTCCTATAGGGACTTAGACAATATAAATCTTAAAGGAATGAAATGTTTCCATTTCCCGAGTTCTCCCATTAATTGATGCAGCGTGCAGAAAACTTACCTGTGCCTAAGGTGATCAGTTTGATTCCAGACATTAGGATCATTTGGACTTTCTGACTCTGAGAAAGAACTTTCTGCAGGTACTGTATGGGCTCTAGCATAGTTGCATGCAGACCAAACTTGCTAACCAAGATGCTATTGCATTATCTCCATTTTCGAGATATTAAGACTTATCTCACCTAAAAGCAATGTTTTGGTTTGAAGATCAGTCTTCTCTTACTCATGTTTTCTGTTCTTCCATCCCCCAACTGCTCCTGGGGAAAGAAAGGAAGGAAAGGAAGAAAGATGGAAGGAAGAACACTCAGGATTTTTTGGTATTTGTTTATGGGTTGAATCTCAGTAAGTGGTCAATTGTACGACAGCCAGACTTTAGTTAAGGGGGGGAAAATTGGCTAGCATTTACTCATTAATGAAGAACTCATTTAGATAGTCTGGGAAATTGCCCTCCTTCAAAGGCTTTACCTTCCACTGTTAATCCAAGAAGATTTGATTGTTGTCCCCCCAGGGGAAGGCATCGGATTTCTCAATTCTTCTTGGGATAGCAAGTAGGGAGGGGAAATCTCTGAAAAGAATGTACCAGATGAGAGAAGCATTGCTAGATCTGGACAAGGTAAGGATGTGCATGCGAAAGATTAAATCAGACCCCCTTTAAAGTATATTTAGAGGTCTCTCTTAGAGTTCAAGGGCTTGCTCTATTAATTGGCTTGAAGGAGCAACTAATTAACTCAAGATAAAAAGGGAAAGGGCTACAGCTGTGCCCCAAGGTTTTGCAAGAGAAGATTTTCTGATGAATGCTACATATTTTGCCAAATGCAGAACTCCTACCAATAAAAATATCAATAATCCAGCTAAATTGCTGTACTACCATATGACAGAAGATCTTTTATTAGATTTGTAGCCTGCATTTTCTCGAGAAGCATAAAGTGGCCTATCCTGCAATCCTATATCCTGTTTTTCTCCCTACAATAGTCTGGGTTGGGCTTAGAAGGAGTGATTGGTACCAAGTTGCCTAGTAGATGTCTAGTACTTTGATCCACCATCTGTAAACCCAACTGCTTTAAACAAAAAGCTGAGGTATTGGCAAGCTTATCTTGGTCCGACAAAGGATGTTGTGGGAATCCTTGCAGGTTTTGTTTTACTTCTCTCCTTGCTATTGTATATGGCCTCTAACTTGTAAAGGACTGCTTTTTACTCTTTTGAATATTTATGTATTAATCGTGGGAATGCTGCATATTTTTCCCCATCTTGGGACCTTTATTTGATTGAGATTTGATTATAACACTTATTAAAATGTTTGTATTTGAATGCTATACTTACTGTACGTTTGTACATTGTCCACAAATTTTCTGTTGGGAATAACAGCCCTTTCTCTTGCCCACAAGAAGGATGCCAATAGGAAATGCTCAGCTAACAACACCTGTAGAGAGATAAAGCTGTTCAGCTGTGGGAGGGCCAAACTTAGCATGTGGAACCAGATTCAAGAAGTGAGGGGCATTGGGTCAGTCACTGTTTCTCAGCCTAATATGCCTACTTCATAGGATGGTCAGGAAGAAAAGGGATTAACAAGGCAATCAATCATCATAAGTAAAGAAAAGATTATTTTAAAATGAAATAAATAAGACAACTTATTCCAACATACGGATAGTGCAGAAAGAAACTCCCAATAGCACCATTTGATTCCAGATTGCTGTAAATAAAGCAATATATTCAAATGAACACAGGGCTATTTTTCCAGAATGGAGTTTATGGTATCTATAACACCATCAAAATGCATAGCAGTGTAAGAAGATGCACTTCTGCCTTGGGAAGCACATCATACAGTATTTGATTCAGAGAAAACCAAATAGAATATGTAAGAGAGGCGGCATGTTATGTAGCAATATGAGATTGTTTCCAATTGCATCTAACAAGGCTTAGATATGAACCAATGCACTAAGGCATAAAAATTATCAAGCTTAGAATAATCATGCTGAAATTAAAAAAAAATGACAGACCCACATTTGATGCATAAACAATGATTAGTACTTTTTGATCAGGTATTCTGTGTTTCCCGTTATCCAGGGGTTCCCAACCAGGGGTGCTCGCACCCCCTGGGGGTACGAGATGATATTCTGGGGTGTGTGTGCAAAAACTTGGGTTTTCAAAATTATAGTGAGTATGCATAATTCGTTGACGTTATTTTGAACTTTTGTAAGTGCTGCGAGAATATATCAGAAGCGTTCTAGGGGTGCGGGGTATAGAAAAGTTTGGGAACCATTGCATTATACAGTAATGTCTGATGCTGAAAGCTTTTAAGCTATTTCAGTGAGGATTGTTTAAATTCAAAGCAGGGGTCATTCCAGTATTAAACTGGTAGAGCAGGACTGATATGCCTGCTATTCTTTGAGGAACCTTCAGTAGGTCAAAAGGTGCCACTTGATGTGTTTCTGAAGGTGATGGTGTTGCCTATCCCAGTTGTGCTTGTTAAGTGATGTCAACCTGAATCTGTGACCTTATTAACACCAACTTTATACACAGCAGAATTTGATCAGCAATGTGGCAATAAATGTTCATCTTTAAGATGACATAAACCTTTCTTGCTTTTGTCTATCTGTTATAACAAATAATTGTGCTAATCCAAACTGCACTTTACTGAATTAACCCTGAACCATAAAGTAGCCAACCACATCTTAGCCTAAGGTGTTCTGTGTACCCGGTATTATACAATCTTCTGCAAATGCTGGCACAACTTTACACGATCATTTCAGTGTTCAGATAATGTTATCTTCCAGTTGCAATCTTGTCTTTCCCTGCCATTTTTAATGTTTAGTGTTATTTTAAAAGGAGAAAAATATATAGAATTGTTCCTTGTCTTTTGATTTGCTAGGTATTGTCTGAGGAGCATTCTTGATTGCCAGGTGGTATCTGATTTCTCTGTGCCATTGTAGAGAACATAAAAGAAGAAAGGAAGATGCAAATCAGAGCTATTCTTTTTAGCTGATAGCTGAATTACCATGGAAAAATGGCTTGAGGGCCTGCCTGTCTCTTCTACCCAGTTAAAACCAGCAGTTTTGTAAAAGGGAGGAGTTTTTTTTTTTAATCTCCCCATTGTAACAAGTATTCTTCCTTGCATGACAATTAGCAGTTTGGATGTTGTAATAACTCATCCCCAGTGATGCTACTCCCTGTTCATAACTATCACTTTTTCCAATGGAAAAGCACTTTTGACAGGGGCTGAGGCAAGAAAAGCTCTTTTACAAACACACCCATTTGAAAGTCAAGGGAGTGATCTCAACAGAGTATCCTCAGAGTTTTTCAGTAGGACTTGCAAGGGATTCCCCGCAGGGTTTCTCCTTGTCATTGTGGGAAAGCGTTGAGGCAAAAGGAATCAATCTGGAAGGCATCACTCTGGAAGGCATCAGGTTGGGGAATGCAACCTAAGTTCTCAAAGGTGAGGCTGCTGCTGTGTCCAAAAGGAATGAAAGGCTCTGAAAGAACCTAACATTTTCTTTGCTGCAAGTCCTGTTGTGAGAAACGGAGAAGGTGATCTGCATGAGAGGTTTGCATGTACTAAGATCTACCGTAATTCTGTGTCTCCTTCAATTGCAGAGTCACTGAGCTTCTTTCTGCCTAGCATGACTGTTACATATACAGCTCGGGTGGCCAATGCCCGCTTTGGTGGCTTCTACAAACTGCTGAGCCTCTGGCGTGGGAGCATCTATAAACTGCTGTACAAGGAGTTCCTGGTCTTCTCGGTTTCCTATTTGGGATTAAGCCTGACTTATCGGTAAATCAGGATATTAGTAGGCATCCTTTCCCTCCTGTTTTCTCAGAACAGCCCAAGAGCTTTGGGTTGTCATTAATAGTCCACCTGCACATTCGGGTTTTATGAAATTCCTTTTCTAATTTGAAGAGTTACTATACAATACCATACTAAATTCCCAAGGACATTGTTCATTCCGGAAAGTGTATTTTGGCACGAGGATATATATTGTTAAAATAATTCTTGTATAACTTTGCTATATAAACTTGGCTCAATTACTGGCCCAGTTGTAGCATAAAAGTAAGTGATGAGGCTACATGTAAATAAGGTGTTGCCCCTTTTCAACAACAGTGTAATTAACCTGATTCATGAAATGTCTTGTGTCCATTATAGCCTATTTGAGCAAAAGAGATCTCACTTTCTCCTGTTTGGGGCACTGTGTGAATAGGTCTGTATTTTTCTTCCTGGTTGAACTGTGTTGAGGTTGAAACATGAGTAAGCCAAATGTAGATGATTAAGAAATGTGTGAAAACAGTCTATCATGATGTGTTATGGTGGATACATGGTGCCTTCAATTATTCCAATTTTCAATCCAAGTCCATGGAAGCCAGCCACTGCCAAATAATACTCTTCCTTAATCTTGGTCTTCTCCTTTCTGTTTCTAGGTATGTCTTACAAGAAGATCAGAAACGGGTCTTCGAAAAGGTGGTCATTTATTGCAACAACTATGCCAATCTCATTCCTGTCTCCTTTGTTTTGGGTGAGATGCTTGATTTCTCAACCTCCTCCTCTGGCTATTTCCATTCCAACTCTTTACCTACTCTTCATCTGCTTCGAGGATAATGAGCAAAATGCAGCGATTTTTTTTACATATGAAATTTTCCCAGCTCTCTAGTTTTAGACTCGAATATGAACCTCCGTCCTTCATTTTCCCATCCTGCCAAGGGAATGGCACAGTAAAGGATACTGGTTATTAAGCAAATTACAGTTATTTCTAAAAGCAAAAAGTAAAATCTTGCCCAAGATATTGGAATTTTCTTAATTCCAAAATCTTGGCCTTTGGTCAGTATTCAGAGGAAAACACAGGGCATCTACTCAGAGAAATGTACACTAGCAATGAATTTTATTGCAGAATATGGATTCTTATGGAATTATAAGAATGCAGTAGGAATTCTTGGATTCCTAATGAGTAAAGGGAGTAAAAGGAATTACAAATAAAAACTTTGAAAGGAATGGGATCTAAGACAGTTCCGTAAAAACTGAGAATGCTAAATGGGCATGAAACGCTGAACTGACTATTGAAAAGAGAATAAGCAATGTGGAATACAAATAAGAATGCAGTGGCTAAAAAACTGAATAAAAACACTTCACACATTTTGTTATAACACTTTTGTTATAATTTGTTGTTTACATGTTTGCATGGCTGAGCTTTGGCTTTTAGAACCTGTTTTGGGTTTTATAATAATATAATCCTACCTCCAATGAGATTTGGAATGTGGAGGTCATGCTCTAATGTAATTTGAGAAAAAAGGCAGAATATAGTTTTAATAAATGAATAAACATCTTCCTATCTCTTGGTTTCACTCAGGCTTCTATGTAACACTGGTAGTAAACCGCTGGTGGAGCCAGTATACCAGCATGCCAATGCCAGATCGCTTGATGTGTGCCATTTCTGGAAATGTGCATGGTGCAGATGAGAGGGGACGGCTTTATCGACGGACACTCATGCGCTATTGCAGTCTATCAGCTGTCTTGATCTTGCGCTCAGTCAGCATTGCTGTGTTCAAGCGCTTTCCCACCATGGACCATGTGGTAGAAGCAGGTAAGGGTAACACCGGAGGCCCATCTTCCTGTTGACCTAAAGTGATGATACGGGAACATTCTGAAAAATGGAGAAAATAAAAGTAAGCACTGTTTAGGACATCCTTTAATTTGGAAAGTGTTGCCAGCAAATGCCATTGTAATGCACTGTTTTCAGCTTTACTCAGCCTGGTACAATCCAGATATATTGGGCTACATGGTCATTAACTGTAATCGGTAGAGCCAATGGAGACAATAATATTATAGACCCATACACCCTGAATATCTTAGGGCTAGGCTATGGAAGTCTGCATGAGAATTGATATTGTGTCTCCTAAAGAAATTCCACCACTTGCATGAGTGGCATTATATATAAATCTGCTTCTTTGCATCTGCTTCAAGGGTTCATGACTCGTGAGGAACGCAAGAAATTTGAAAATCTCAACTCTTCCTACAATCGATACTGGGTCCCCTGCATATGGTTTACCAACTTAGCTGCACAGGCACGTAAAGAAGGCCGCATACGTGACAACTGTGCTCTCAAGTTGCTCATGGAGGTGAGGTTGGGAATCCTAGCATTTGAATTATAAACTTAAACTAAGTTTAATAGTTATTTCCACTTCCCAGAAACTTCTAATTTCTGAAGTTCTGACATTTCCAAGCACCTTCTCAGCCATCCATAATGCTTAAAATTCTTCTATAACAGTAGAGACCTGGCATTTTAGAAGGATCGCATCAGTCCCCTTCAAGATGACTAGCAGCATGGAATTGTTGGAATTGTAGTCCAAAAACATCTGGAGAGCACCAGGCTGTCTGCTTCTGTTCTATAGAACTAGTGTTGCAAAGGAGGGCCGGGAGAAGTTTTGTTTGAGATGCATTGATAACCGTCACTGAGCCATCATCACCAACTCTCATCCTAGCCATCATTTGTTTTGTCCCAGATGAGGAGGGTGACATCCAAAGTAGAATATACATGTTCATCTGGAACAAACAATAGATCTTGCATCCAAGTTCCAATTAGATTTTAAATGGACCAAAAGTTAGGAATGCTATTTAAGTTCCAAGGCTATATAATCTTAGTACTTGGGAAAAACACAGAATAGATTAAAAAAAGGAAGCTATGTGAGAACCTTGAAAACAATGTGGTAATCACCAGAAATTATGGATTTGTTAAGGTTACTCCTGTAAGATATTTATTCTTATTACATCTTCCTTAGTGGATAGTGGTATATATATATATTATATATATATATATATATATAATTTAATTAATTAAGCAAAGCATTCAACTAAGGACTCAAAGCTAGGTCCTCTCTTGACCCCTCCTTCCAGCCTAACGGGCAGTTCCCAACATCTACAATGTAACTACCACAAGACCGCTGAACAATATCTTAACCCTACTTTCCAGAGTTAGACGATGGAACTACTGAAACACCATGCTTCCAAGTTGGAAGATATATAGCCAATTTTTTTTCTGAAGTCACTGAGAATCAGCGGATCACATTTTTCTGTCTCATTCCAGAAAAAGTCACGGTCATATATTGCTACTCATATGCCTGAAGGCATTGTGGAAAGCCATATGTAGTTGTAGAAAGTTCTCATGCCTCACACAAGTAGTGATGATTGCACTCTCCCTCCAGGAACTGAATCACTTTCGTGGCAACTGCAGCATGCTTTACCACTATGACTGGATCAGTGTACCATTAGTATACACTCAGGTAAGCTGTCAGACACTGAGTACACAAATGTTATTTCACTGGTGAATGATTAAGCATATCCTATTGTTGGCATTTCTGGTTTGTGTGTCCTTTTCCTCTTGTTTAAGATAGATTAAAGGATTATGACCAGACTTAAGAGAAAATTGGTAATGGGAAGGTTTACCATCTCTTGCATCTAGCAGTTCTGTTTTGTGGCTCTCTAGACTATTACACATTTGTATCCTAGGCAACCAGTTGTTTGTCCAGATTTCAGAGTGCAGTTGGAAAGAATATTCTTATAAATGTAAGGGATTGCACTTTTAAGAGAAAATCAGTAGAGAGGAGAAAAACAATTAAGCTTATCTTCTACTTCCTCTTTGCTAATGCTCTCATTATATATATTGGGACCGGAATGTTGAGAATTCCCAATGTACATGGTCATTGGTTAGGAATTCTGGGAGTTGTAGTCCATATCTGGGAAAACAGCATCGGGGTCTCTGCAGCAATGTATAGAGTAGAAATCAAAGGTTACTATCAGATTAATGAACAATTGAGATGGAATCTCTGTAGAATTCTGTTCCACACAAATAGTTTTTGTACAAAGCATTGATGTTTAATTGACTGACAGCCATACCAAACAGTGTTTGTGAATGATTCTGTATCATTCTGAAGGGAAGTGCTAAGTGGCATCCCCAGAACTCTATCATCAGTTCAGTTCTACTTTACAAATTTGATTTGAAGAATGAGATGGAATTATGCTTGTACATTTTGCAAATGACACCAAGCTAAAATGATTGGCCAAAAACGTAGAGTACAAAAATCATAAAAATGACCTCAACAGACAGGAGTATGCACAAGTGTGATAACTAGGATAATGAAAACTATATAATGGATATAGGACTGGAGAAATTCAAATTGACAGTAGGGCACAAAAGAAGAATTTAGGTATAAGAGTACCCCAATGTTTGAACATGAGCAAGTAACTTAATGTAGCAGCTAAACAACTAATGCGCTGTGCCTAAACAATAGGAAATAACAGTTCCCTTGTACCCTGTTGCTACTTAGATTGCATTTGGAGTTCTGTGTTAAGAGCTGATGCTTGTACTTTAAAGGGGATATGGATAAGCTGGAGCATATTCAGAAGGAAGTTACCTGGATGATAAAATACCTAGAAAGGAAGCCCCATGAAGAACAGTTACTGGAGCCAGGAATAGTCAGCTTCTAAAAGAGAAGCTCAAGGGGAGCTTAAGGGAGGAGAACTGGGGGAGTCCTGGTTGGAACAGAGGGATGAACGAATGACCTGCAAGAACCTCTTCTAACTCATACATCCTATGCTAACAGTATCATTATTGTTTAATATATTATTATATGTTCACAACAATGTCAAATCGCAGCTGCTGGTTCTTTAGCTATGTTGGCTTTCATATGCATTGAATTGAGGATCTTGTAACATATTATGTAATATACGGTATGTGCGGATCCAAGCAGTGTGGTCTTTTGCAATCGACAGATGGAAATTTTGTCAACACACACATTCTCTAAGTGCCGTCCAATATTTTTTTTGGTATGGCATCCAGTGTGCTGATAAGTACGGGGACCATCAAAGTCGGTTTGTTTTAATTTTCACATTTTGATTCTTTCTGATCTTTTCCAATTCTTTGCCTTCTATTCTACTGTCCCCTGGTATTGCCACATCAGTTACCCACACTTTCTTTTCTTCTTTTCAACCATAGTTATATCTGGTGTGTTATGAGCCAAGACATTTTATTTGGAAATCCCACAATATTTTAACCTGCCCTTTTTTACTACTTTTCTCAAGTCTATGTTCCCACTAATTTTTCATTATTGGTACACAGTAATTTTTATAGAAGCTCCGTGAATCATTTTCCTGAATATGTTATGTTGTGTTTATAATCAGTTTGTGTGATCTTCTTGTATGAGTTGAGTATACGATCCACTGTTTCTTCTTTGTACCATCTGCACTAATTCTGCCCTTGATTTTATTATAGCTTATTCTTGGGTAGCCAAAATCATTATCATAGTTTCAAGCATAATTAGTATGTTGCTGTTGTTTTAAAAATTGACTGCTTTAAAACCCTAGTCAAGTTTGAATTGTGGATTATTGACACAATGATTACATATGTAATGTAGTATAGCTTTATTTTATTTTATTTCATTTCATTTGATGTAACTGCCTAAGGAAGCTTTTGCCTTGAAAGATAGTGTACAAAGTCTAAAACCAGCAAGCCACCAAAGCCACAGCTAAAATTGGCCATAGAGTAGAGTTGATACGTTTAGAACATTTTAAAACTCTCACACTTTAAGATGTGAAACACAGGCGTGTCATGAGTGGTATGGATAATATATACTCTATGTCAGAGTACTTGGCTGCACAATAACTCTATCAGAGCAGAAGTTCCCTTATGGCCGACATGTTTATCAGGTATGTTTATCAGGACATTTAATTTTGGTTTGCCTACTGGTTAATTACATCCAGCAACCTAACATCTTATCTACAGAGTTACAATGCTGTCCTTTACAACCTAGTAATCCAAGGATATTTAACTTACTCTAGAATAGCCCTACTTTAACCGTGTGTTTGCAATCACTGCCTTAAGAAATGTACTCAGGATGATTTAAAAAAGTAACTAATGGTACTTAAATTAGTTATCAGTGCCTTTCTGCATAAATTATTGGTGGATAACAAGGGGGGGGTGGAACTTTACTGTTCTATTTTTCAGTGTTACATGAGATATAGACCTAATTCCCACTGGTAACTAAATAGGGAATGGTAAATTATCTTAGGGTTTTTAAAATATCATGGAATTAAATGTATAATCTGAAAATTAGAATCATCATAATTTCTTATATTAACATTGACCTAAAAAGAGACTGGAAATATGTTCTATTCCTTAGCAGTCCTAATTCTCTGAATGAGAGATGATTAAGCAAGGATTAAACTGCACTCCAAATTGCATATTACAGTAATTATTGTAATAAAAAATCCTTTCATCTGAGCAAAGAAGCTCCCCACTTTTTCATTTCCCTTTTCTCTTTGCTCTCATAGGTGGTTACCATTGCTGTATATAGCTTCTTCTTTTCTTGTCTAATTGGAAGGCAGTTCCTCGATCCAGCCCAAGGTTATGAAGGACATGACCTAGACCTGTGGATTCCTGTTTTCACCCTGCTTCAGTTTTTCTTCTACTTTGGATGGCTCAAGGTAGGATAGAATGGAGCTGGTTAATTTGTAGTGGTTGCTGGAGCATTTCCTACATCGCTTTCTTCAAGCAGATCTTGCCCAGATGGGTTGAACAGGAGTTCTTGTCTATGGAGATTCTCAATCATCCAGGTCATGGTTGTTCCACAGGTGCTTTTTCCAAAAGGCAACTGGACTTCCTTAGTTTTTTTTTTCTTTTTCACTTCTTATCCAAGAAGCTTCTTCAATTCTTGGATGTTTCTTGGATGAGAAATGTTTCCAAAGGGAAAAAAAATCAAGAAAGTCCAGTTGCCTTTTGGAAAAAGCACCTTTGGGACAACAAGAGTCCTCATTATGTCCAACTACTGTGGCTGCCAACCAGTCATTTCACTATTGAGAACCAATATGATTAATGGTAATTTTAGGAGGGAATGACTGAAATCCCTTACCTTGGAAGGCTGCTGTAGAGAATTGCTCAGGGATGATAGGCCAGTGAATCTGATTTGAGGCAGAGGAAAAACAGCTAAGAGATCAGAACAGAACAACAGAACAGAACAGGAGAGTTGGAAGGGACCTTAGAGGTTCTAGTGACTAGTCCAACCCCCTGTTCAGGCAGGAAACCCTATACCATTTCAGACAAATGATTGTCCAATCTCTTTTTAAAAACTCCCAGTGTTGGAGCATTCACAACTTCTGGAGGTAGGTTGTTCCATTGGTTAATTGTTCTAACTGTCAGGAAGTTTCTTCTTAGTTCTAGGTTTAGCTTCTTCTCTCCATCTATTTGTATAATTGGCAGAAGATTGGGAGGCTCTGCACAAGGTTAGAAACAGAGACTGTGAGAGGAGCAATCTTTGTCTCACTATGGATCTTTGCAGGTGGCTGAGCAACTCATCAACCCTTTTGGAGAGGATGACGATGACTTTGAAACCAATTTACTGATTGACAGGAACTTCCAGGTAACCCCCAACCTCTCCTCTTCTGCTAAGAATTGACAAAGCAATGTTCAGTGGAGCTGAATTTTTCCATGGTCCAATAGTTGTAAACCCATCCCCTGTCCTACAGTTGAGATTCTTATCCCTCCCTACCCCAGTACATACATATCCTAGATACATATTGACAAACAGACAGGCAAACGCCAGTACTGTCTGCCTGCAAAAGGGATTCTTCATGTTTGGTTTTCTTCTGAAGGTCTCCATGATGGCTGTGGATGAGATGTATGCAGATTTGCCTCTCCTGGAGAAGGATAGATATTGGGATGCCTCAAACCCACGTGCCCCCTATACGGCAGCTACAGTTTTTCTGCTGCAACAGCCGTCATTCCAAGGCTCCACTTTTGATGTGACGTAAGGATTTTTTTCTTTGTGCGGCGCAAAAAGTAGTAGTAGTAGTAGTAGTAGTAGTAGTAGTAGTAGTAGTAGTAGTAGTAGTAGTAATAAATGATTAACTGGTAAAGAAGCAAGAGGGAGCGCACAGGGGATGTACCGTTTGGGTTTTCCCTATTTGGGATAGATCAACAATCTTTTCCCAGTGTGCATGAAGCTTCCCATTGCTGAGACTGTAATTGTACAAGCACCGTGACTATGCATTTCCCACTTGAGGAAAGCCCTGTTACTTTCTAGTAATGGAAGTATCTATGGTTAGTGCTGAATGGTTGAACAAATTCCTTCAACCGCTTGTCCTCGCTTTCCAGATTGGCCAAGGAGGATATGCAGTTCCAGCCTTTGGAGGAGATTGCCGAGGGCTTTGAAGACAGCCGCCATGTGCCTGCCCACCTCTTGAACCGACTGCTCTCTACTGCTCCTACCTCAGGAGGTTTTGGACGCCGTCTCTCTCTGCTGAAGCGCAAGAACAGCTGTGTTTCAGAACCATCAAACACCTACAGCTGCCTTTGTCAGGACATGCATGCCCTTGACTGCACGTGTACCCGGCATGCCAGTCAGCAGATGCGCAGTAACAGCATTCCCTTCATCCCTGAAGGGGCGGGAGACTCTGACCACGATACCAGCAGCCCAGGAAAGGAAGCATGCAGTGTTCTTCCTGAGTCGCACATTGTTGAGCTGGGTGAACCTTCTCAGAGTGCATCGGGCCAGGAGAATGTTACTGCTGCCCCCCCTGATCCAGAGCCCCTTGTGGATACATCAGTTAATACAAATGTCTTGTCCTGGCCTCTCCTAGAACATGACTCTTCAGACACTTCTTTCTTTCACAACCCAAAGGAGGTGCCTAGCAAAGGGGTTGGCTATCCCCCATGGCTGCAGAGCCCCATTGAAGAGGAAAGTACGGCATGACCGTTATTGGGTATCCACAGCTGAGATGGAGTTACTGCCGGGGACATCTTGTTATGGTGATCTTATTGGAAGAAGGCCCTGAAAGGAAGAACCAACAGAAGCGAATCTACTTTTGTAAAAACCACCTTTGGGGCAGGGGCTTGGGGGAATTTTAAGACAGGGGTTGTTGAGACACTCTTAATTTCATTAACAAATACTCTGTTCCCACCAAAGAAAATGCTAGTTTTAAACCATGCTTTTAACTTAATAGACTACGTACAAACCTAGAGTAGATATGAATATCATACTGCTTTGCAGTGTTGGTGAAATCTTTCTCGTTCTATTTTTCTCCTCAAGATAAAACTGAGAAGGAAAGAGCCAAGAGGTGTAGATGAATTCTACGGCACCCTTCCCCCCCCCCCACAACCCTATATAGTCAACTGATTTAAGGCTTATGTTTTTATGTTTTATTAAATGCTTGTTTGTAAAACATTGAGACTTTTGAATACTTTAAATCTTACCGCAGTTCCTTACACCTTTAACAAAGTCGTGGGTAACTTCATTCTGACAAACGTTTGCCATTTTTAAATGTTATTCTGGCCTCTGGGAAGAACAGGAAGAATGGCAGAGATGTATTGTTTGTATTGTTCATGCCAGAGACACTTTCATTAAATAACCTGCATACTTAGGTCTCTACCAGCCTTTAGAAGATTTACGTAAGACTTACTGAAGGAGGCTGGGAAAACTAGACTTTAAAGGGACTCATTATAAACCTCTAGTATTCCTAGGGCAATACAATTGTCAATAGATGCATTATTCAAATGTCTAAGAATATTCATCAGGCTCAGGTGCTTTTCCTATTTTCACAGATTTGGCATTGTTTCTTGAAGAGTTAAATGTTTAATTAAATATAGTTTGATCATGCCTAAGCTCTAGAATAGCAAATAAAATAAAAAAAATTGATTTTAAGAACACTTGAATTTTAAAACTATATCCTCGTATTGGAGTACATTATTTATATTCAAGTGAGCTATAGCAGCGGTCCTCAACTTTTCCAGCTCTGCGGACCAGCGGTGGCAGTGCCCCTCTGGGGATGGTTTTGCGTGTGTGCCCACCGCTTACACCAAGGCTTTTCAACCAGTGGTACGGGTACCACCTGTGGTACATTGGCATCTGGCAGGTGGTACACGACCATCCTAGAAAAGTGGTAGCGGGGGAGGGGAATGAGCTGAACCGGTGGCAGCACCACACAAGCCTGAGCGAGAGATGGCTGGAGCTGCAGGGCTGTCAGGGCTCAGCGGAAGCACCAGGATCAGTGCCAGGCTCCAGCTGGAAAGCAGCACTGATCCTGGTGCTTCTGCTGAGCCCAGAAGCGTCAATCAACTGGAATGTTGCAGCATCTCCAGGGTCTTGTGATTTACATTCAGATGCTTGGCAACTGATTCATATTTATGATGGTCACAGTGTCCCAGGGTCATGTGAAGTGACCAAAACCTGCTGCAACCACCCAGCAGACGGGGGGAATAAAAACCGAACACCCCCCCACCCCACCCCCACTGCCAATCCTCAACAGAAATGCTCACCACAATGAAAACCTCGGACAGGAGGAAGAGTTCCGCCGGGCGGACAGGCGTCTTGCTCGGCTGTGGCTTGGGGGGCCACTTTTTTCAGTACCATTGTAACTTCGAACAGTCACTAAGCAAACTGTTGTAAGTCGAGGACTACCTGTACTTTATCACTTTTTTCCTTTTTTTTTCATCAAGTTTTTGACACCTTGCTAGGCGACTGGTGGTACTCGGATATTGCCATATCCTAAAAGTGGCACAATGGGTGAAAAGGTTGAAAAGCCCTGGCTTACACAACCCGGTTCCCAACAGGCCGCGGACCAATATCAGTCTGCGGACCAGGGGTTGGGGGCTCCTGAGCTATAGCATATGAACACTGAGCCTGAACACTTTTAATAATGGGGCATTGTGGTGATTAATTTCATTTAAGAAGAGCTGTGCAACTAGGGATAGCCTAATTTAGCACAAAGCTGATTCATTAGATGCTGAAATTGGAAGGAAAAAAATGGACTTATTTGTCTTGGTGCAAACAGCAGCAAGAACACACTGATTATTGTGGTCAAAGAAGTAAAGGGATATAATTCAGTAACCTTGCTGAAACTGACCAGGAAAGCATACTAGAACCTTGTATATAGGACTGTGAGTTCCATGATAGAAAGGAAGGAAATGCAAGTACTATATTAATCTTATGCCATGTATTATACTTCTAAGCAAAACATTTTAATTTTGAAATATCACTGGAAATATTTCAATGACAATGTTGAGATGTGAAAACGCCAGGTTGGGGCTCTTTCAGTTTGGGCAGAACAGCTGTTCTAGGCTTGGGGCAGGATGTGTTTGAAATTCAAAATGTTTGATGTGTCACAGACACTAGTCTATAATATTTATAATCAAACTTGATATAAAAGAAGATTGTTAATGCTAGCTGCACTTTTCATTTCAAAGCTAGATAATTTTGTAAAATATTGTGGTTTGTACATAGCTCAGAAAACTTGAAAATCAGACTCTATAATTATCAAGTTTATTAAAGAGGGCTTACTTCTCAGATTACGCTAAAGGGATGCAACATACTGAATTTCTTATTTAAAATAAATTGTTTAAAAGAAGCAAAGCTGGGAGTCCAGTTATTATAGGATGAAAAAGACTTAGAGACTTCCAGAAGATAACATACTCTGCTTGTTTTAATCTTTCATATATCCTCTAAGCCAGGGCTTTTCAACCTTTTCACCCATTGAACCATTTTTAGGATATGGCAATATCCAAGTACCACCAGTCGACTAGCAAGGTATCAAAAACGTGATGACCAAAAAAAAAGGAAAAAAGTGATAAAAGTACAGGTAGTCCTTGACTTACAACAGTTCGCTTAGTGACGATTCGAAGTTACAATGGCACTGAAAAAAGTGCCACCCCAAACCACAGCCGAGCAAGACACCTGCCTGCCCACCCAGCGGCGCTCTTCCTCCTGTCCGAGGTTTTCATTGTTGTGAGCATTTCTGTTGAGGATTGGCAGCGGGGGTGGGGTGGGAGGTGTTTAGTTTTTATTCCCCCCATCTGCTGGGTGGTTGCAGCAGGTTTTGGTCATTTCACATGACCCTGGGACACTGTGACCATCATAAATATGAATCAGTTGCCAAGCATCTGAATGTAAATCACAAGACCCTGGAGATGCTGCAACATTCCAGCTGATCGGCGCTTCTTCTGGGCTCAGCCGAAGCGCCAGGATCAGTGCTGCTTTCCAGCTAATTGGTGCTTCTTCAGGGCTCAGCAGAAGCACCAGGATCAGCGCCAAGCTCCAGCTGGAGCCTGGCGCTGATCCTGGCGCTTCCACTGAGCCCTGACAGCCCCGAAGAAGCGCCGATCAGCTGGAGATGCTGCAACATTCCAGCTGATCGGCGCTTCTGGGCTCAGCAAAAGCGCCAGGATCAGTGACGAGCTCCAGCTGGAGCCTGGAGCTGATCCTAGCGCTTCCACTGAGTCCTGACAGCCCTGCAGCTCCAGCTGTCTCTCGCTCCGGCTTGTGCGGTGCTGCCACTGGTTCAGCTCATTCCCCTCCCCCACTACCACTTTTCTAGGATGGTCACGTACCACCTGCCAGGTGCCAATGTACCACAGGTGGTACCCGTACCACTGGTTGAAAAGCCCTGCTCTAAGCCATCTAGAGTTGTCAGAGTGCTGGAATGATCTAGAGACGGTACATACAGAATTCTTCAAGACACTGTTTCCCTTAAAGCAGACAAATTTTATTCAAATCCTGTCTGAAAGGCAGGAAGAATTCTCATTTTCCTTATGTCAATAATTTACTATATTGAAACCAAAAAAATACGTAATTTCAGAAACACCTGTCTCTCAAAATATTCAGTACTCTTATCATAGAGGTCCCCAACCTCTGGGCCATGGCCCGCTACCGGGACTTGAGCCGTTCAGAACCAGGCCACAGAAGTGGCAGGCATCCCCACTTGTGCGAGCAGCGAGAGTGCATGCCCCCATCCTCGTGCAAATTGAGCTGAGTGCCCGCACACTTGCCCACCACTCATGCAGAACCATCCCTTTCCCCCTGCCGAGGCTGCAAAGTCAGAAAGATTGGACAACTCTGCTCTATCAAATATTTTGTCAAATAATTTGCAGTAGGCAATACTACTGTTATGATTTTATGGTAATTCTCCTTATCAAGAGAGTTAGCATTCTCTTAATTAAGAGTTAATGTCAACAGCAGGGTTTTTCCAACACTGGATGCCTTGGAAAGCCACACTGCTGCCAAAAATAGTTCATGAAATTCTTTAAGAGATATTTCTTGTTGCTTCTCAGTTGAAAATAACATGCTCAGAACAAAAAAAATTACTAATGACTATGTGGCAATAATAATGGTTGTGTGAATGGCAATAAAAACAAAAAAAGGTTCTATCTTGGAATTTATCTGATGATCATATATGACCTTAGATCCTAAAATTCAGATTCCCCTCCCCCCAAAGACCAGACCAAAGGAATATATACCATTTGTTTATTTTACATAGGAAGACAAAGGTTTAATTTTAAAATAATTCCTAAGGCATAGTATAGGAAGTTAGCCTTTGGGACATCACATTACTAGAGAAATAATATGACAAAATACATTTTAGAACCTTTATTTGTAATGAAAAGATTCTACAGACATATTCTGTCACCCTCCCTCAACATTGCATGCCAGGTTTCTGTCCAATAGAAAAATAAAGAGGCAGAGACCTGCCCAGATGAACAAATTGCTTTACAAAATGTATAATTTACAGCAGTAAAACTATATTTACTAAAAAATAAAAACACACTTTAAAGAACAAATTTTAAAAGGAAACAGCTTCTTACAACTTCCAGGATGGAAGGGTGATCCAAAATTAGACAAGGCATACTAACAGAATAAAACAGAGTACCCTTTTTTTTGTTAAATAAAAGCACCAGACTTTAAATATTGCTGTGAAAACAGTA